AGCGTCATAGCGCGCGGTATGTTTATACCTCTTCCAGCTTTTTTGCCAAAGATTCATGGCGCAATTATGAATTTATACTTGTATTCCTTGTTACTTAATACTGGATTATACATATTGTCACCGCATCTATGCGCATTTGTCGCCAGTAATATACTTTTACATTTATACATATCCTCAGTGTATACGGCATCGTCGGGCATTCTCTTGAAAATCAACTCGTAGAGATCTGGTGTTCCCACATATTTTATTCCACCGATAATTATATTGTCGTCTTTATCTATATCAAAAATTTTATCACCACTCATCATTTCTTTGTTACAAAATTTAACATCATATACATAATTCGTAAATCTTTAAACAGGGCTGAAGGAGCAAATAAACATTGTTCTTATATAAACAAGTTTAACGCATTGACAATTGTACGAACATTTAATTAGAAACAAATTAATAAATCACATCATATAAATAATAAATAATACTTGTTACAATAAAAGTCAGAAAAAAGTACAATTAAGAATGATAAACAAACGTTTCTGTCCCAATCTGGACTTTCTAAGAGAGTTGGACAAAAATGTTAGCTAATTAACAATTACGAACTACAATGTAATTCTTAATGCAATTAATAATTACATTTTATAATCGTTAATTATTGCAAACAATTACATGAGATAATTACGAAAAGTAATTGTGTACAAATTACAATTAAGTAATTGTTAATTGATAATTGATTAAATGTAATTGTAATTGTAATTGTAATTAGAATAAGAGCGACTAAGAGTACGCGTCGTCTAAAAGAACGTATGGTTAATACCTTGACTAGGGATGGGATCAAGTTCAATACATATTTATGAATCTCAGTTTAATTCAATAACTAGATTTTATTTTATTGAAATAAGTAATATTTATAAAAAACATGTATTTAATGTAATTATAAAAAACTATACAATTATGAATGAAACAAATTACGAACAATGAACAATTACAATAACGAATGATATTGGTACGAGTATCAAAATGTAACTGAAAGTTTATGAAATATACTCGAATCTTTTACTTCGAAACATAGCTCTCTCTATGTGCAATCGAAATTCTATAGTATGTACACATATACAGGGTGTCCTAAAACTACCGTTTTTCCTTTTAATAGTAGACTCCTTAGAACATTTCAAGACGAAAATTTTAATACAAAAATGTCGAGGCTATGATAGTTTTTAAACAGAAAGCGATTATATTTTACAAATGGCAAGGCTGAGATTTCGCGCGCTCAGGCACGGCGAAATACTAGACACCTTCATGGTAACATTAATCAACCACTTTGACAGCTGAAGTTAAAACATGACTTGAATCATTTTTGAGATGCCTTCTTGCACCCATTATTCGTAAAAAGAATGTATTAATGCAATGCGTAGCGGGAAAACATATAATGACAATGCTATTGTAAATTTATACGATAATCATAATATTATAAAAAAGACGCTCCATTCATAGAAGCACGTTTTTCACTTGTCATTTCGACGTGTCTGAGCACGCAAAATTTCAGCCCTGTCATTCGTAAAATATAATCGCTTTCCGTTTAAAAACTATTATAGCCTCGACATTTCTGTATTAGGATTTTCGTCTTGAAATGTTCTAAGGAATCTGCCATTAAGAGGAAGTACGGTAGTTTTAGGACACACTGTATATACTAGATAATTATTTTCTTTATTCAAACACCACTTATTTTTAGACTGATATCATATACTGAAAGTAGAAACTAACGAAACAAAACCGCTTAATGCTTGTTCATTTCAAAGGAAACAAGTTTGAATAAGTTGTGTAAATAAACCCTCAAATATTATAAAAAGAAAGTTCGGGAAGTTCTGTTTCCGTAGATTAAAATGTAATCGCAATTACTTATAATTGCAATTACCATGTAATTACGATTAAAAGTAATTACGATTACATTATAATTCCAATGTATAATTATAATGGGATTATAATTATAAGTAATTATAATTACAAGTAATTGTAATTACATTGTGTGAAGGTAGGTGTGTAGAAACGTGCTCGCTTCCTTACTCCACAATTCGCAAGAGGGAAGTCGTGTAGAAAGGCGGTCTTCAATAAGTTGACTTGATGGACTATGTACAAAAATTTATTTGATGTAATATACACTCGTTATTTACAGGAATTGTTTTTAGATTAATTCTGTGTGGCCCTGAAAAGGGCCGGTTGTACGCTGCTGTTCGCGCTACTGTCTCCGTTCACGCCACTGTATTCACGGTTCCGAGGAAGTGTAATGTGGTGGACCCCACTTCGTCCAAAGCGCCGGAGGAATCCCTGGAGGCGTGTAGTTCCCTCCAGACAGCAGTGGTTGTTCGTCTGTCTGTGTTGGGGGCGATCTGTGCTGCTTCCTCCCAGTCGGAGAGATCTGACTGCGTGCCCCGCTCACAGGTGTTGGTGGAGGCCTGTGTAGTCTTCTCTTGGATAGAGGAATACGCCTGGGTACCTCGATGTACCCTACTCTCGGGGCTTGTCTGTGTCCCCTTGTCTATCCGCTCCGAAGATGATGCGGGTAGTGGAGAGAGCTTCGGCGGGTATTTCCACCTGTATGTCGGCGATGTGTAGCGCCGTACTCTCACGTCCCACGTCGAGAGGAAGTCCCTTCCAGGGCGAGTCCGATGCACAGCTCCAGTGGCGGCAGCTTCCACTCCCTTAGCGTCCAGCAGACGCGGCTAGTGGAGGGAACGGCTGGTAATCTCCTCGGTCCCTGTCCGCAAAGTCCCAGGTGATGCGGGCGGCGATAACGGACGTGGACGCTTCCGTGCTGTGTGCTCCTTGTTTCTAAACAAGGCTCGAAATGCTTAACCGAGAGACCCGAGTTCTGTCGGCCGTCACTAAGCTCTGCTGTGTTATGCGAGAGAAGTCCTCTCAGACAGCGTAGAGCCGCGACTGCTGATATCGGCTGGCTTGCGGCCTTATATCCTGTCTCTCACTGGATCCCACTCACAGGTAACACCTCGCGGTTGACGCCGCGTCGTGGTGAGCTTCTGAGGCTGCCGTGAGCGTGCACGTGCTCGGCGCGTGATTACTGCCGTGTGCTTGCACGTACCGGGCACGTGATCGCCGCCCGTATTCAGGGGCTTGTTTTGATCTTTGCGCGCCTGTCACTTTTGTGGCGGGAATCCGCCACACATTGTAATTACAATTATATTGTAATTGCATTATTTTAATTAAATTATTTAATCACATACATTAAAATCAATTAACTCCCAACTCTGACTCTCTTCAATGTATAAATTAAAAATAAAATATAAAATGAGTAGCGGTCAAAATTCTAAAAGTTCTTTGAAAGACATGGTTCAAGAGTAAAATATAAATACATAGACGATTAGTTGTTATAAAAATCGAAATCCCTCCAACGGCCTCCCAAGGGAATGCATTGTCCACCATATAGTTGTTCCAAAAACTTGCGGGTAACAATTATAGCCCATGGAATTTTTAAAAAAATGTTTAAATAATGTGGTGGAAAATGCTTAAAATAACAATAATTAGTTAAGACTTATCGATGGAGGGAGGATCAAAACACTCGATAGAACAGGACCGTCACACAACAAGGTCTGTCTAGGACTGCCGCGAAAATAAGAGGCATAAACAATACAGACAGACAATACGACTTCTTCTTCTTTCTTTTATGGCTGGTTGGGCATTAGTCGCCCATACACCATTGTTTCTTATGGGTTTGTAGAATATAAGCAAAACTCCTCTAAGAGAGGAGGGAGTCCAAAAAAAGGTCCAGACAAAGGACATACGCAGCACTCAAAAACACGTCCAAACCCGACACGTTGTCAGTCGGAACTTACAGACAATACGAGACAAACGAGGCATACAGTATAAAATAGAGAGAGATACACCGACTTAAGGAGATCCTAAAAGGTCTGTTTTACCAATAAAAACGCGAATATTAGTTAACGTGCAAAATATTTTTGTTAATAAATCCTTTAAAGTACACATAGTAACGTAGTGCGGGGTATATGATTTCATGTAAAAAGAGAAAAAACAAATTAAAAATTACAGTTTTGTTATCGTCTTTTGCCATCAACATTTGCTTAATATAAAAGATTTGTAATTTGCACGTGCCTAAGAAGTAGATTCAACACTCGCATTTTATCAAAGAGTATCAGTGAATTTTGAGAAGTGAGTTTAGAAGCTTTATAAAAAAGATTTTACTATGCAAAACTTTCGTGCATACGTGTGTGTGCAAGATCGAGGCTCAAGAGTAAAACAGAGCAGTAGATTAGTTGCGTGATGTCGCGATAGACAGAACTGCAATCTTACATGACAAGGGCAGACATAATCGTATTATCTTTGTCTCTTTCATGCGTGTGAGAGTAATATACATGTACGCACTAACATTATTGCAGTATCTTTCTTTTCTCGATCATACGCTCTGTCTCTTTCTAATCGCTCGCTCACTATGTACTATGTATCGCTTAGCTTCATGCTCCTCGCATGTTCACTTACGCGTTCACTCGCGCTTCTCTCTCTCTCTCTCTCTCTCTCTCTCTTTCTGCTCGTTCATTATTGTATTCTTTTATTCCCATTATTATATTCTTTTATTTGCTCAACTTTTATTCTTTCTATTCTCGTCTCACTACATGAAAATAAATAAATTTATTTATTTATTTTTAATTTATACAGCATAAATGAGATACAAAGCTATTTGTGATACAGATCTAGTTTACATTAAATACAATATACTCTTTTTACAATTGTTTAAACCGTTCAGTTTTTACATCGTTTTATCTCAGCTGGTAAGGCATTATACACTTTAACCCCTTCGTACAATATACTCTTTTTGTGCACTCATAGTTCATAGTTCTACGAAATTGCAATGTCCGCAACTAACAGCGTTGCACAATCAAAGATAGGAAGAGAAGGACGGATTTGTCCGATTTTTACTAGCTTTCTCAGCTATTTGCATTACAAATCCTCAACCCAGCATTCAATCCAGACTCCGACAGTGCTATGCATGATTCATTATCTTCATATCTGATGCTGTATCTTTTTCCTTCTGTAGTTGTTACTTAGTGTCCTCCCAGCCGGCTCTCCTCTTCTCCTCCTGTATCGCCCTTTTAAATGTCGGACATTCCGGATCAAGGGCGTCATGCTCATCACTTATTCTCAAGTTGTATGTTTGAATCTTAAACATACAATTTATACATCTTTTGTTTGTCGCCGTGCATTCAACCGCTCTATGATTTTTTGCACATTTGTGGCATGTTTCATTTCGCGTACAATTCTTTGCAATATGATAATAACCCCAGCATTTAAAACACCTTTTAATATTAATGTGATTAAATACCAGACACTTTCTCCATCCTACATTCAGTTTTCCCATGCTCAACATTATTTCATGAGTTTTTTCATCTGCTTCAATTATTACAGAACCTTCTTCTTTACCTCTTCTTCCGGATTGACTTTTAACTATTTTCTTCACTATTCGCATATGAATTTCTTCATTCTTCGCGTCGATCTTGTTCTGCTTTTTGATTGTAACTATTAAATTATCATCATTCAACTTCATTTCTTCTTCGCCAATATTGACAATTTTTATCTTAGGTTTCATCCGCGGTGACTCAGTTACTTTGAAATTTTCGCCCAGCTTGGCTTGTACTGTAGCCTTTAATTTTTCCATTTCTTCTTCAGTCTCACAACCCAGAATCACTGTTCCCTTGCTTCCTTTTTTTAGCTTCGTTACTCCCACAGGCATATTCTTGATGTCTATCTTTTCTTTTATCAATTTTTTAGTAACTTCACTCTCCTGTTGCATCTTAGGTTTGACAATTATAATATTTTCTTTTTTATT